GTTAAATATATTCCTAAATATTTAATTTTCTTTGATGCTATTGTGAAAGGTGTTGCATGTCCTCTCTTATCTGATTGCTCTGGCAGGGACTTCCAGCACTATGTTGAATAGAAGTGGAAATAGTGGGCAACTTTGTCTGGTTCCAGTTCGAAATGGGAGTGCTTTCAATTTTTCCCCATTCAGTATGATATTGGCTATGGGTTTATTGTATATGACCTTAATAATTTTAAGGTATGTCCCATCTATGCCTATTTTGTTAAGAGTTTTTATCATAAAATTGTGTTGGATTTTGTCAAATGCTTTTCTGCATCTATTGAGAGGAGCAGTAGTTTTTCCACATGAACATAATGTCTGATAAATGTCTTTGCCACTTTGTACCTTTATATTCCTTCTAACATGGTGTTTCCCTGTACTTATGATTTTTTTTTTTTAGATTTTACAGTACAATATATCAAGGAACCAAAGATACATGTACCCTCAGAAAGGAAATTGTCCTTCTCCAGAAAAACTGGTTTAAGAAAGCCCTCTATTAGACCCAGGTAAGATACAGAATCTGGCTACAGCAACATCTCCAGGCATAAGCTTTTCTAAAATCTCAACATGTCCAAATCTGAACTCATCTTTCTGTGTGTAGGTTTTCAGACCACTTTCTATATGTCATACATATATTCACAGGCACACTTGGTATTTTAAATCATTATTTATTTTCTAAAATTGTCACCGTGCAATCTATATTGTACAATAACTTTTCTAAGTTAAACTGTCATGGACATTTTTTCATGTCAGTATGTAAAGATCTACCACCTTCCATATTATGGATGTAGCGTAACTTATTTAACCATATCCTTTTTTACAGATATTTAATTGTCTTTAGTTTTTTATTGCTATAAATAGTACCACAATAAATATCTTTGTACATATATCCTTGCCTGTTTGTGTTTTCTGGATTATGTACTAATGCGGTACTCTCCTAACTGGTTCCTTACTTCATGTCCTTCTCCCCTTATGACCAGTCTGAGCATCAGCCTCCCATAGCTAGGCACAGACCCTGTGACCTTTTCTTCCATGGTTGCCCACCCACATTTCTTTCTATATACTTCAGCATAAGTGCCACCTATGTATAACAAGTTCTCCAAATGTTATGTTTGCCTGACTTCTTTCTCCTCTAAAACCCTAAATCTCTAAAGTACAATATCAAGCACTTACTATGTACTAATTTTTACTGCTCTTATCTTTTTAGATATGTTTTCTGCCTTTTTGACTTGACTGTAATGTTCTTATAAGCTATGTCATTCATTCAATCATTTATTCATTTTTTATTTAGTTATTATCTGTTAATGGCTAGCTATATGAAAAGGCCTCTTCCAAATGATAACAATATAGTAGTACATACGAATTTGGTAGCTAAAGTCTCTAACAGAATATTTTTCATAGAAAAAAACTCTCACGAAAAATGTTTTCAGTTATTAATAACATTCATTGAGGGTGACAAGTCTTCTGTCTCTTCTAAACACTCTAGATAGATCTTCCTCCCCTTCAAGTAACTGAAATTATTCCCTAAGTTTCAATCATTTATTCCTTTTGCTGTTCCCATTGGTACTACTCACTATTCTTCACTATGTCTATAGAAATACCTATTTTCCAATTTAGTTGAGCATGAATATCACAGAAGACTTTTCTAAATCACATATTCATAAGATCATTAAATTCTAGAGGAAATATGCAGGGTTGTATAGTCCAGTTTCATGACTTCAGTTAAGACCACAGCAAAATGGCCTAGGGATACTACAGTTTCAGTTTTCTTAAACCTCGTCTATAGCCTTCGTTCAATGTAATAAACAGTTATTGGTTATATACTGTGTCCCAGAAATTCTGTGAGTGCTGATGATACAAAAATAAGACATTGTCCTTGCCCTTAATCTAATACATAACTAAATAAAACACAAGGCTAACCTTAAAATGTTATGATAAAATATTGGCTAATTATTATACTATGAAAGTATTGCAAAAGAAGAAAGAAATTTTGAGTGAGGATTATGAAAAGTTAGAATATCAGAAAGGGCCCTGAACTACATGTAGGAATTCAATTGCAAAGAAATGGGAACATTTTGTGGATAGGGCTAAATTCTACCCAAAAGCTGAAGAAATGACACAAAGATAATAACTCATTAATATAAAGGTAGTATTCAAATACTTGGAAATATACTACCCAAAGCAATCTACAGATTCAGTGCAATCCCCATCAAAATACCAATGCCATTCTTCACAGAAATATAATAGAAAAAAACCTAAAGTCTGTATGGAACCACAAAAGACCCCAAATAGCCAAAGCAATCCTTAACAAAAAGAACAAAACTGGAGTTATTACACTACCAGACTTCAAAATATACTATAGCTATAGTAACAAAAACACCATGGTAGTGGCACAAAAACAGACACATAGACCAATGAAACAGAATAGAGAGCCCAGAAATTAATACACCTATCAATAGCCAACTGTTTTTTTGACAAAGGTATCAAGAACACTCACTGGGGAAAGGATAATCTTTTCAGTAAATGGTACAGGGAAAACTTATTATCCATATGCAGAAGAATGAAACTAGAACCCCACATCTCACCCTACACAAAAATCAACTTAAAATAGATCAAAGACTTAAAACTAGAACCCCACCTCTCAACCTATACAATAATCAACTCAAAATGGATCAAAGACCTAAATGTAAGATCCCAAACAATAAAACCACTGGGAGAAAACATAGGGGAACACTTTAGGATGTTGATCTGAGAAAAGATTTTATGAATAAGACCTCAAAAGCACAGGCAGCATCCGATGCGGGGCTGCAAATTAGTGCAACCTCTGTGGAAAAGAATTTGGAGATACCTCAGAGAGCTAAAAATAGAAATACCA